ACCAATTAAAGGTTAAAACATACCTAAAGATAATTAAAAATATTTCATAACAAAAATTAGACTAAAGGTTAAATATAACCCTAAACGTGTATTTCTAAAGAACCACATTTTTGCATGATTTTCCTAATTAGCTGACACTTAAAGTTTAACATTTAAATTTATTAATAAAAATAATATTTACTTTTAAAGCAAAACACCCACTGTAGCCGCGTTTCAGCTAGATCTTTAATATGGTCAATTTAGTCCATGTTCGTAAAAATGACATATGATAAATGTTTAACATGTCAAATTTAACCTGTTGTCATTTTCATTAATTATTTTCCGAATGTGGAACAAAAAACAATTTTGAAATTTGAAACTTAACGACCTCCATGCACTTAAAAATTTCTTAATATTTTAAAATATATTAAGAGATAATGTATTAACATTAGTGGGACTCACTTTGTAAGAATTTTGTAAATCTTCTCACTACAATTGAAAAATTTTCATATGACAAAATAGGATTAATTTGGAAAGGGGTAACACAATGACTTTCTTCTAAGAGTCGGCCCAATATTTAAACAAAGTGTAAAAAGTCAACTTACGACTCTCAAAAAGTCGGATTTCGACCTTCAGCCACTTTTTAATACCATTACACCGACTTTTCGATCAATCTTTATACCACTTTTTCGACTTTAGACTTTACGACATAGAATATGTATATGAGAGTCTAGTTATAGAACCGTAATGACTGTACATGAGAAGGACGGACCTTTTATCTTAATAGGTCCCTTTCTTTATGCATAATCTTACCAACAATACACACAGAAAGCTAGACGATTTTATGGGGCCTGTCACAGAATTCCATTCCGATCAAAAGTGGAACTATTTTTCGTATTTTTCTTCTTCAAAAATGGAAAATGACAACTTTTTCGGAATGAAACCACCTCAAATTTTCAACGTGGACTTGACAATAGTTTAAAGCTATTATATAAATAAAATATAAATGTTATTAGTAAGATCCATTATATCATGAAGCTGCCATGAAAATCTTCCCTGGAACTGAACATTAAATTTGTCAGATGGTGAATCCATAATTGGTGATAGTTCTCCAAATTTGGGGCCGGTTCCGGAACGAAAATTGAGTTAGTTCATTTTACCTGAATATACTTTCTTACTTGTTTATTATTTATGTTGACTCAAAACTTAATTAATTCTCAAACTTTTCTGAAATATTCTCAATTAAAAATGGACAAAATCGTTTCACATTAGACCCTAGCCCCCAATATAAGTTCCCCTTCCGAAAATGACTTTAACGTTCATAACTTTCCTTAGTGATGCAATTTCACATAAAAAGCTTATTATAAACCAAAATATTTCTACCAGATATCTTAAGGATTGATCTATAATTGACACATCCCACCAAACAACCCCTCCTAGAAAAAGTTATTGTCAATAAATCGATTAAAAGAGTAGGACAACAAATGTTTAATCCAGAGACCAATGTTTACTTTTTCAGAGGATTGTGAATCGTTAAATCTAAATCCGAAACTGTGCGAAGACATCTTTGTTGGTAAAATCTCTTATGAAATCTAAAAGTCCCATCTGTCAACTTAAACATAAAAGTTTAATATTTTCTTTATATTTACAAGCTTCTTGGATAAATCTCTTGTACTTGCGAAGTATCGACCGATCAAGTTCTTTTATTTTAAAGGTCGCTTTTATAAGGTCTCAAATATAGCCAAAAACAGGGGCTTTAAGTTTTTAGGATATCTCAAAAACTTGATGTAATGGAAAATTTAGATTTGGCGCTGCTAGTCCTTTAGAATAGTATAAATTGGTCTCTGGGTTTCGAGTTTTTTCTAATTTTGTTTGTCTGTGTAATCAAGGTTCTTAAGAGAAGTTTAATGGAAATGATTTGTTGTTGAAAATTTATCACTTTCTCTCGAATTATCGATTATATGACTAGGATTTGATGGAGGAAATATAAGCTTCGACTTTTTCTTCATAAGCTGTGTTTGGACACAATATTTAAGTAATTAAAATGTATATTAAAGTTGAAATTTAAAGACAAATCTAATTTACAAATTAAAATTCTCATACGACATCATAATATAACTATAATAATGGTTGTATCATCATACGACATGATAAAAGCCTCCTTTTAATGGAAAATTTAACGCCAACTTCTTGTGGAAAATATTTAGCTATTTAACTCCCCCTTTATATTCTGTATTTACATCTTAATATTTAATATAAACTCAATTTGATTGTTATGTCTAACTAACGCTTCTTTAATTGTCAATTATAGCACTTCAATTTAATTAAGAATTTATTTACCATCTGATATGTACAGCATTGAGACAACAAGAACAAAGAAAACCAATAAAGACTTTTCAAGAGATGGCAACGACGGCATTATAATGAAATTGTTTCTGCTTTTTTTTTTATTTTAAATTTAATAATTTATATTATTAATTGATGTTTTGTTGGAACACACAAAACTAAATGACTGACTGAA